CCCTCACCGGCGATGCTGGCCCGCAGCGCGAGCGGGGCCTGGGCACCCGCCCAGACTTGCAGCACTAGCTGGCCCCTGGCTTTATGGAGGTTAAAGTCAGACCCTCCCGGTCACTTAAACCCTTTTTGTGGTTCAGGAGGGAACTCACTCTCTCTGAACTCTTAACTTTGATTGGAGATTCTGGTTAAAATTAAGAACTTCAAACCCAGGTTTGAAAAAGTGAAACAGATGTCCAGTTCGTTATCCATAAATGGCTCCGTACGTCCGACCCTTTCCTCTCTCTCTCTTTTTCTTTCTGCCGCATTAAGTTTTATTTAATGCAGAATTTCCTTTAACAAATGGAGAGAGAGAGAGAGAGAGAGAGAGAGAGAGAGAGAGAGAGAGAGAGAAAGAGAGAAGGGCGCAAATATGGACTGTGGGTGGAAAACTCCTAAATCATATAACGAAAGGAAGCCTCCTCATAAAGATGAACGTGCTCAAGCTGCCGCCTCCCAACGCAGGCGGCACTCCAGTCAAAACCGGTGTCCCCAAGGGACCCCAGTCTCGAATATCCCGGGAGTACCCACCACCTGCACCCTCGTGGAGACCACGGCCGCCTGAAGTGGGAGAAGGAGTCCCCGATTTGCACTCACGTAAGAACATAGTTGACGCTGACGATACAGTGTGGCCTGGACGAGCGGCTGTTGTGCACGATGGTCGCATAGCTCTGCACCCAGACCCAGCCGCCCTGCTTCGCCAGGAACCTGTAGTACTTGGTGGTCACCTGCCCCTTCACCAGCACTGATGGAGAGACAGAGGCAGCGGTGAACGCGCCCGCCCCAGATCGGCCCCCGCGCAGCCCCCGGCGGTGAGAGCAGGGTGCCCCGTGGGTACGAATCGGAGTGCGCCCGCCCGAGGCGGGGAGGGGGGAGGGGGACAACAGACACCTTCCCAAATTCATGGGTTGTCCTGTTAATTTGCACGATTAGCAAAAAGGGAAACGCTTAAAGTTGGAGGATTCCAACCCTCCCCCCATTCGATTTTCGAGCTACGTCAAACGGTCGGGGCAGCTCACTTCCTGGCTCACACTCGCTGTCCCGGGAGATGAGGCTCAAAGCAAAGCAGGAGCGCAAGCCAAGCGCGTACTCCGGGTCAGTGCACACGAGCCACGTGGGCTAGCCTCCGTTTTTCCTCCCGCCTTTTGTGAGGCTGGGGGCGAGGTGGGGAGGGGGCATTCTATCGATAGGAGAATAAAACGCCTCCCAGGGAGAATTTCGCCAAGAAACTCAGAAATTCCCCCTCGGCCCTGTGAGCGTCCTCAGATGCTAGAGAAACAGGATGGGTCAGTGTTAGAGCAGCCGCTCGCAGGACCTCAGCTACCACCCCCACTGGCTACCAGAGCTACCACTTGTCCCCGGGCTGGGGGCTTCAATCACGCCCTCTCCCCTCCCCCACTCCTCCTCCAGGGCCTCGCGGGGCGGGGCGGCCGCAGGGTGGCGCCTTACGCAGGTGGTGGGCGCAGCGCAGGTGGAAGGTGTCGCAGCCGTGCACGTGGTGGTACAGGGTCTTCTCAATCAGGTCCTGAGGTTCATACCCCGTCAGCTCCGCCACTCTGCGGAGAGCAATCCCGCGGGATGAGCGAGCGTGAGGTGCGGGATGTGCCCCACCCCGGACAGCCACCTGAGACTTGGGTGCCCACCCTCACCTCGCAGAGCTCCATCAGTCACCTCATCTGCAAAAGGGGCTCCTAAGATGCAGGAGGAGCTCTCCCCACGGAACAGGGTGACTCTTTGCCTCCTCCCCCCTCCTCCCCGGCCACGCACCTGGAGTCCAGGAAGATGAGCTTCATGTCCAGGCTGGCGCGGAACATGAACATGTTGCTATGCAGCTTGATCTCCGTGACGGCGCTGGGCGGCAGCGAGTGGCCCACGGCCACCAGGCCCACGTTCTGGTAACAGCCATCGAAGGGGGACATGTCCAAGCTGTACTGGCGGATCTTCAGGTAGCCGCTGCAATGAATGACCTGCGGCGGCGGGTGACAGGGCAAGACTCAGCCACCCAAAAAGGTGGGGAACGGATTAAAACCTTGAGACCCAGTTAGACCATAAATGAATGCCCTGTGGGCCACGCCCCCGCGTTCAAGTGTCCAGTTACTGGGGCTCCCAGGTGTTTCAAGGAAATGACTGCACAGTCTCACTGAGCTTACCTGGGGACTTGTAACAATGCAGAGGCCTGGGCCCTGCCAACCCTGACGCACCTGGAAGCGGTGCCCCGGAACCTGCATGTTTCATCTCATTAACCAGGAGAACCACAGGCTTGAACTAAAGCTCTGTTTCCTAACCTCTCTGGGGCGGGGGCGGGGGGGTCAGAATCTGACGCCCTGAGTAAACTCTAAGAACCCACTGGAGCGATGGACTATGTCTGACGCTTGACACATCCCCAAGGCCCTTTATTGGCCCCTGATTTTAGAGCCCCAGCAGCCTGGGAGTGAGACTGTCTTCAAACGTGGTTCCAGGGGTTCACAAAGGTCAATGACCTTGGTGATGCGCCCCCTCCCAGAGCTGTTCGCCATTCACCCAGGCGGGAAACGCCCTCCTGGGCGGTCCGGACCACAGGGAAGCCCCTCCCCTGCCGCACGGTTCCCTGGTCCTGCCCCCTTCCCCTACACCTGGCTACGTGGCAGGGATCCTCCCTCTCAGCCACGCACCTTGTAGCCACCGCAGGTGAGGCCCGCGTTCCTCTTGGCCAAGACACACTTCATCCTCAGGAAGAAGGAGCGCTCGATCTCATACTCTGGAGAGGGGAGCGGAGGGAAGCGCAGGACGTGAGACAGGCAGCGCCGCGCCAGGGGCCCTGCCAGGGCTAACTGGGGCAATGCCACCAGCTGGCTGCGATTGGCACGCTCCTGCCTTACCCTGGACAAAGTGAGAGTGGTAGGGCTGGTGGGCCGTGAGAACCGCTGTCATCTCGTCGTGGTCTGCCGGGTGGATGTATTCGTAAATGCTATTCCCGGTCAGTTCTACCTGTAAAGAGGAGGGTATCACCATCCCGGAGTGATGCCACATGGAGGGACTGGAAGATTGGGCCAAGAGGGCCACAGGATTGTGAGGACAGGAGCCAGAACTCTAGTTGCAGCCTAGCTAAGCCTCGGTTTCCTTATCCATGAAAGGAAATAATAGTAGTAGTAGTAGCTCCCTGGCAATATTCTGGTGAAGACATTATGACACCAATATGTAACCCATCTCCCATGTTATTTGGCCTCTGCTAGGGACTCAAAAAGGTAGCCATTGTTTGGGCTTGGAGTAGAACAGCGGTTCTCAACCTATGGGTTGCGACCCCTTTGGGGGTCGAATGACCCTTTCACAGGGGTCGCCTAAGACCATCGGAAAACACATATATAATTACATATTGTTTTGTGATTAACCACTATGCTTTAATTATGTTCAATTTGTAACAATGAAATTGGGGGTCACCACAACATGAGGAACTGTATTAAAGGGTCGCGGCATTAGGAAGGTTGAGAACCACTGGAGTAGAAGCTGAAGGATAAGGGAAGGGGAGAAAGGGAGAGGTCCAGCCCTCCTGTCAGCTGAGCTGTTTCCAGTCCCAGAAATGCACATATGAAACCTTTGGGACAGCCAGCCCTCCACCCCTTACCTCCTGCCCCAGCTCTGGCTGTAAACACTGGAGGCTAGAGTCCTAGACCACTCACCTACCTGAGAAAGACCCAGGTGGACCGAGGCTGTCTCTGAGATGTACATGATCTTCCCATCTGGGGCCACCACAAAGATAAAACCATCCAGGGTCTGGGGAGACAGAAACAGAGTTGAATGGAGAGCCCTCTGGGACATTGGTACAAATTGGGGCCCAGGGGGACAGAAGTTAGAGATGCCCAACCAGAAGTGCAAAGAGACAAAGTAGAGAGGGGGTGGCAGGAAACAGTGCATAGAAAACCAACCCCAAGAGTCCCTTTTGTTTTTTCCAAATTTGAAAGCACCTGGAAAATGCAGCACACTGGAAGAGATCAGAGGGAGAGATGAAGGAAGCTACTATTCTCCAAGATTCAGGATCCACCAAAATAGACAGAGCAAACCTATCTGTAACACACACACACACAAATATTTAGGAGGAGGGACACAGTCTGCTATGAGACGTGAGTTGGGTTCTAGGAGTGATGATCACTGAAAGAACCAGAGGTTTCCTGTCAGTCTTGGAGGACTCCATAGTGACAGCGTCTTTTAATGAAAAGAATACCTGGGGTTTGGGAAATAGCAGGCATTGGGTGATGTGGAAGGGCTGGCAGTCTGAAAAGTTGTAGACAGAAGGCAGATGGCCAGTAGCTCTGAAAAGAGTCTGGGAGAGGGGGATTTAGGAGATGAGAGGCTTTCCAGGCAGCAAGTCCATAAAGTAGTGCAATAGTGTGATGTGTGCGTGTTTACATTGATACATCAAGCTGACAGGCTCTCCATGAAGGCAAGTCTCAGACTTTCACTGTCCCTTTATTTATGTGAATGGGGCTTCAATCCAGGCAGTGGAGACAAGGATGAGTCAAACTTTACTCTCAAGGAGCTGGAAGTCCAGTAGAAGCATAAAGACTGGCCTAAAGATAGCTATAATGACTACACAGATGAACAGACAGTGCTGTTGGGGCCCAGAGGCTGAGGGGCCAGAGGCCTGGGGAAGAATCAGAGGCCTTAGAGGTACTGTTTGAGCAAAGCCTTGAAGAGGAAGCTTGAACTGTAGTAGAGAGGAAGAGCATCCTAGACAGAAGGATTGCTGTGCCAAAGGCAGGGACTGAGGGGAGGATGGATCTGATCATTTTTGTGCACCAGAGATAGGGCTGAGGGAGTACACCAGTGCTGGATTTTTGGAGAGTTTGAGATGTCAAGCTGAGGAATCTAGAGATACTCCTGTAGGCATCAAGGTTCTAACAGAAGTTTCTAAACAGGGGAATAGCATGTTTAGACATGTTTTGTTTTGTTTTTTTCAGGCAGAATGTGGACAGTCACTTATAGGAGGAAAGAGCGGGGATGAGGCAATCAGAAAGCAGAGTCCAAGTCAAAGATGGATCTGGCCATGGAATTTATGGTGGCAGAAAGAGTCTGACTTCAATGTCATTGAGTAGAGGGTAAAGAGCTTAACCAAGATTGGGAATTTTGAGAAGATTTGAGTTTTTGTATGGGTGGGTGGAAATCTGGAAGAGGAAATTAATGGATTCTTGTCTTGGAGATGTTGAACTTCAGGTGTATCCAGATTTCCATTTGGATGTGTCCAGTTGGCAGTAGGAAATAAAGGCCTGGGGCTTAGGAGGGGTGTCTAGACTGGAAAAACCAGCTGGAGTCATGCAAATGTGGGAAAAGGAGTTGAGATGATAATGTTGGCTGTGAGATGGGAAACAGAGTTGGAACCTTTAGGAAATGTCAGCATTTACAACCAGACAGTGATGGGAAAACCAGAGGAGCAAACAGGGAGAGAAAGGAATCCAGAAAAGTGTGGTACGAATTTTGAGAAGATTTGGGAAGCATGTCACCTCCATCAAGTCCAAATGTCACCTTCTCAATGAGGTCCTCTGCCACTCAAACACAGCCCTACTCCTTCCCCTTCTTGTTTTTCTTTTTTAAATCCTCACCTGAGGATATGTTTTTATTTGTTTTCAAAGAGAAAGGAAGGGAGAATTGCCATTCCCAGTGTGAGAGAGAAACATCAATCGGTTACCTCCCTATGCACCAGACTGGGATTGAACCTGAAACCTGGGCCCTGACCAGGAACTGAACTTGCCACCTTTGGGTCTATGAGATGACATTCCAACCAACTGAACCACCCGGCCAGGGATCCCCTCTCTTATTTTTCTCCACTGCACCTACACCACCTGTTACAATGTGCAGAGCACCTGGGTTTGCAAGACTGCTCTCCTTGGAATATAAACCCATGAAGGCAGGGCTTTCTGTCTGGCACAAAGTTGGCCCTCCTATATTTGTGGAATGAATGAGGTCAGGCAGGATAAGAAATGAGCATCTTCTGCTGCATATCAAAATGTGGTGGCGCCTGTGCAGAGCACAATGGCTGGGAGGGGTGCCGGACTGCAGGGGTTTGGAAGTGAGTGGGTCAGGGTGAGTGATGGAAGTTGAAAGTGTAATAAGTCCTGTGAGAAGTTTGGGATGAAGAGAGGAGAAGATTGGGCAAGAGCCAGAAGGGGTGAGGGATTGTTAGGTTTTTGTTCCCTTTGATGAGGGAAATTAATTGGTAATATGGCAAGACTGGGTAGGGATCAGTTGTTGAGAGGCAACTGATGGCAGTTGTCCCTGTGAAAGGGAGGGACAGTGCTGGTTAAAAGTCAGAGGTGTACGGGCCAGGCCTGTGAGGGAATACAATGCCTTTCTTTACTCTGTGAAACTGAAATCTCTGGCCTCTAATACTAATGGGGTATCTGTGGGTCAGGAAAGAGCGTGGCACTCCTGCTAGGAGATGCTCAGGCCTGGCCCACCTGGGCTCAGATTCCTCCCTGATGCCTGCATAGGTTTGAGACACCTACCTCAGTTGCAATGGACTTGAGTAATAAGGAGGTGCAGGTTGGGAGACAAGTGCCACCAGAAGTTTTACTATTTTACATATTTGCTAGTGGGCAATTGGCAATTTAAAACGGTATACTCTGCAAACAATGCAGCAATGGGAGCTTCCACACTGGATAAACTCATTGCCTGGGGAGGTGTACGTGTGTGCACAGGGCTCTGTCTGTACATGGCCTGGGCTGGCCTATGGTAAGGGCTGTGGAGAGAGAGGAGAGAGCGCGTAACTACCAGGAGGAGATGAAAAGAGTTGCAGGCGCAGCTGGATCCAGAATGTGTGGGCTTAAAGCATTGACTGGCTTTTCTACCAGATTCCCCTTATTTCCTGTATAAATCCTTCATTTCGGATGGTTTTGCAGCCTAGCCTGGGCAGCTTGGCTTGGAGGCGCTCCCGTTCCCTCAGCCCAACGGTGTCAAATGGCACCCCTCCCGGGGTTAGCCCATCTGATTGTCAGAGCTCCCTTTCAAATCCAATGTGCTGATCGTCACCATGCCTCCCTCTTGGCCTCTTGAGGCGCCACTCGCACCAAGGCACCAAGCAAGGTTAAGAGCTAAACCTTTTAACTTTGGAGAAACTGTAGGGGCTGCAGGAGGGACACGTCAGGGCAGGATCCCATTTTTCTAGGAAACAAGAAGCCAAGCGTGGGGCCAGGACCTCAGACGCTGAAGCTTATGCGCGACTGACCGACTGACCGGGAAGCCACGCCAGTACCTGCAGCAGATGAGAGCCCAGCTCACGGCCAACGTTGTCCAGGGGGCTGGTCCGACTGGAGTGGCCCCACGCCTCCCCGAGCCCTGTGGAGGCACAGAGACACTCTTGAGCAATGGGACTCCAACCCTGCTGGCAGTTTGAGGCTAGCCTCGCAGCTATGTCACACATTCAAGCTCACACACGTAACCAGATACCATTGGGCTCCTCTTGCTCTCTGACCTGAACAGCAAAGAGTGGGAGCAGGTACATGTAGGCCCTGCCCGCTCAGTCTGAACAGAGGTCAGACTCCCTCTCCCAGATGGACCTGGGCTTCTCAGGGAAGGCAGGGCCTGGCTGAGCATCCCCTGGGCAGGACCCCAAGTAGCTGAGTTTGGGGACAGCCTTGCCCTGAAAGAGCCCCTTACACTGCACCCCAGCGATAGCTATTGCATAGGTTCACTAGTGTTCTTAGAGGGGTGAGGGACACTATTTGTCACCCAAAGTTTCATCATCATTCTTACCAAAAGGCGAATGTCACTGATGGCCCAGAGGGACATGAATCCCTGGGCCAGGGCCAGCTTGTCCCTGGTGAGCTTTCTGATTGGCAGCAGGGCTCTCCAGCCATTCCCCTCCCCTGGGCCTCTGACTTTAATCCCCTTCCGAAAAATCCATTTGCCTGTGCAGATGACTCCCAGCAGCAACATACCCTTGCAATCCTTCTATGCCTTTTCCTTCCTAGCCCTCCCCACCTTCTTACACATCCTAATCTCACCTGCTATCCCACCCCCCAAAACACCACACAGGTTTTTTTGAAGTCAGATACTTGCAGGTTCTAACACTGTTTTAGCAATATTTTCATGACCTTCTGAATATAGAGAATTAATCACTTTCTCTACTTTCCAGGCATCATCTTAACAAATATAGCCCTTTTCTCTCCACATTAAGATCTTCCCAAGTGTTGCCACAAATAGTTTTTCTGGTGATGCCTAAAAAATAAAATAAAATTCTCAGGAAGCTGTGGCTGGTGTTTTTTCTATTAATATGGAGAAAGAAAATGAAAAATCAGGTAGAAGAAACTTGCCCAGACCGAGGTTAAACTTCTTATGGGTAACATCTTGTAACAGTGTTGCTGCTGAAATTAATTTAACTAGGTAAAGTCTTTTATGCTTACACCATTACAAGGTTTAACATGAAAAAAAAAAAAAAAAAAAAAAAAAAAAAAAAAAAAAAAAAGAGGGCGATTTACTGGGGAATGGGGCAAATCACTATGAAGTACACAATGATGATCACACCCCCATGGTAATATGGGGTTGTGGGTGGATGTTTCAGAATAAACCATGGAGCTGGGCTCTAAAGTGTGTTGGCCAGGAGCTGCTTCCTACGCCAATGATCAAAACCCTGGTAACGAATAACCATGAGCACCCCTTAAGCTCAAATCGGGTCTCTCTGGGTGTTTGCACATCTAAATAAATCTAACGATTTCCCCACCACTCTACAAACACTGGTGCTCCCCGCCTTCGCCAGTCTCCTCTCCCTCCTTCCTCACCCCCTCCTGCCTCCTTAGCCCGCCCCAGTGTCCTTCCCCAGAGCGACTCCACTACCCTAACCCCTCGGTGCCCTCCTGGAAGGTGCCAGGGGACACCGACACTACAGCCTGTACACACACACCCCTTGCTTTGTCACCTTCTCTTTGTTCGTCCCTTCTCAGCCAAACTATTCTCTTTGGATTCTGGCACAACGTGATCATGTTTTCATTCCCGCTCAGATACCCACCCAGAAGGAGTGACAGGCAGGTGGCCTAGGGAGGCCGCCCTGGGGAAAGTGGACAGGATCCTGCTTGGAGGGGGGTGGGGGATGGGGCGCGCTGGCCCTTGCATGCCTGGGGCCCAGCTGAGGCCTGACAGCTCAAAGCTTCCCGGGGCCCAGGGGCAGGGACTCGGGTGCAAAGAGCTGGCCGAGGCCGCGGCCGCGTTGCTTCTGGAGTCGGGGCTTCCTCAGCTCCCCAAAGTGGGCAAAGAGTGCGCTTGGGACCGACAAGTGTTTTTATTCTACAATTATCAGGTCCCGCAAAGCGGCTGGGACGCACCCGGGACCAGCCTCCCGACCCGAATCCTCTGAAAATCCCCCAAGCTGTGCTGAGGTTAAGGACCGGTTCCGAACTCGTGGAGCCCGCCTGGGCTGTCTGCGGTCTCGGGTTGCGGCCTCCTTAGTGGGAGCCTCCGGGGGGGAAACGAGGCTACCCCGCAGGTTAATGAACAGCCGGCCGCGCAGGTTAGCGGCCCTCCCTGCCCTCTGCCTCCCCACCCCCACCTTTTACGGGACCTTTTGCTTTCACGGAGCATTGCCTTTGCTTTCTGTTCCCGGTCGAAATCTCCGTCACACGGCGATGCCTGGGTTAATGTTTTATAAGGGACTGGCTGCCTTCGTCGACCTGCGGGCTTTCCCGCCCTTCAGCCTGCCCGGGACACCTTCGGAAGCCCGGGCACGGGTTCCTCCTCCGAAAGTCCGGGCGTGGGCCAGGGCCCCCTCTCCCCGACCCTGCCCTTCCCGCTGCGGTGACGCGCTCCCGCACCCAGTTTCACTTGGCGAGGCGGGTAAGCTGAGATTTCGTTTCTGCACTTGACCTACCGCAGAAAATTCGCAAATCCTTTGATTGTCTGTTTAAAATGAGGAGGAAACCAAGCTCCCTTTGCGGCAGGATTTCAGTGGGAACAAGATCTAAAGATTCTCTTGTAATTCGGTGAGGCCGAGGGAACGGGCTTTTGCAAAGGAAAAAAAAAAAGCAGCTCTGTGAGGGAGGCGATAACTAAATCGGGTTTTAGACAAAAGGATTTGCCCCAGCTAAAGTGGCCCAAGACAAAGGAAAACATAATCTATTTGGGAAGATTTCCAAGATATGCTACATTAACCTCAGCAGATAAATTTTGCTTCTCCCCGCCCCTTTCTTCCCTCAAAGTCTGGCTTACCATATTTACATAAGTAGTATTACAAGGGATGTATCTATTATGGATCTAAAGGACTAGCTCACATTTCATGTAAAAACTCCGACAAGTTTCACTGTTGCTTTACCCTCAGTGCGCAGAGGAGCCATTTCCATTTAAATACCCCCTGACCCAAGGATTACCTCAATGGACTGACTGCGCGGGTTTTGTAATTTCCTGAAAATGAGATTTCGATTTATAAAACAAGAAACCAATTAGTAACCAAATGAGGCGAAGTAGATCCACTAAAATTGACCTAATCCCACAGGCACAATTTAGGCCCGTTCTTGGCGAATGAATGATGAGCCCCAGTCTAGCATGAGCTCAAAGCATCGTCCAGCTGTGTTATTGCAAGCAGCAAAAATAAATTGATCGAGCTTTCCTTCGGAATGAATTTCGTACCCTTGACAAAATATGGTTGACAGACAGGCACCCTCACCTCCTTCACTCAGACAGGAAGGGGAGGATGAGAAGAGCTTCTCCTTCTACCGTTCTTTTTTTTTTTCCTTTTAATAAACAAACACTGTATCTCAATAGAATGTGTCCTTCTTGTTGTCTCTCTGGGAAAACCATCTCCGAAATCACCGCTATGCCTTTTAAGCAACATTGTGGGTGCTGGAGGAGCTCCCCAGGACCAGATCACAGCCTGGTGACTGATGCCAGAAAAGCCCTCGGAGACCCAGACCGCGCTCCCGACTTTGGGTCTCAGAGGGACTTGTCCCAGCACCTGGGTTTCTCCCAGGACCGGCATCCTCGCCGAGCGCACTGTCCAAGCCTTTCCCTGGGCCCAGCAATGAACAGCCTTAGGGCTCCGGGAGCCTCAGTGGCTGGATGCTTGGGGAAGAGAGGACCTGAGGCCCAAATCCAGGAGTCACCGGGTAGGAGACTGCTTCACGCACTTGGCACCCCCAGGACCCCCTCCGGCGCTGCAGCCCGCCCCACTCTGGCCACCTGGCGGGTGTGGCCGACCTTCCGAGGGCTTTGTCCTGCGCAGCAACCTGAACCCCACCCACCGTGTTTGCTCTCCACCAGGCATCCCCACCCGCGCCTGGGGATGCACTCAAGTTAGTGTAAATCTGGGGCGGAAGCTCTGCGCTCTCGTCGCGCTCCGGCCCCGAGCGCGGGCTTCCCAGTCCGGATGGAGCGTGCGGGCCACGCTGGCTGTGGGCTCCCGAGCCCGCGGGAGAGAACGGAACTGCGGGCCGCAGGCACAGGTGGGGTTTAGCCAGGTCCTAACTAAACCATCCTACACAAGTGCACGCAGGGTTGACAACAGTGCTGAGTGGCTGCTGAAAAGAGTCAAGCGGTGTGGCCGGGACCCTGGACCTTCGAGGGGGGCCGGGCCGGGCGATGCCAGGGTCCCCAAGGCGAGACTGACGGGGCTGCCCCGCCGCGCTGGCGGCACTGGCGGCTCCCACGTAGGTTCTACTTGGCGAACGGGACTCTGACGGCCGCACAGGCTCGCTCAGGCGGGATTTCGCTTTAGATGATGGCAGGTCCTTGGGGCGGTAGCCCGGGCAGCAGGAGGGCAGCGGGCGCACTGGGCAATCGGGCGGAGGCGTCCTCAAACCCTCGGCAGGCAGACTCGGTCCATTGCGGAGGCCTCCCGCTCGCACCACCAGGCTGCGGCCACCCCAGGGAGGCGGCGGGGTCTCGGGGGAGGAACGGACGGACCGCAGAGCAAGGCCCTGGCGGGCCGGCCGCAACTACAGGCTTCTCCTAGCTGCTTTGGTCCGTGCTGGAGGCGAGGCTAAGGTTTAGACAAGGTCGCTGTCCCTGGTTTTGTCTGAGCCCCCGAGGCGGAGGACTCCGTGCAGGAGCCGCCTGCCCTGCCCGATGGAGCTACCTGCAGAATAATGTTCGCCACGCAGTCCTCAGGCTCTGTTTTGGTACTTTCCGATTAGCAAGTCCATTGCTAAATAATTAAAGGTTCTCAACTCCACAAAAATTTAAATTCCATGGATCAGAAACTGACCATGAGTGGACTGCGAAAACCATAACATACTAGCTGTGCCTAAACATTCTCTGGAGAAAAACCTGGGCCGACAGATAAAGACCTGCAGCAGAAATCCACGGACCTGGTTGTATCTACATTTGTGTCTGCAGAACCTCAAAGCTGCCAAGACTCCCTAAAATTGAAAAGTTACTGCCTAGAAATCACGTTTTTCCTCAGGAAAGTTGGCCTGATTCTAGCTTCAGGTGGGGGATTATGCCCTGCTTATAAGCACCGCACCATAGCTTACTATACCCTGTTTATGTTGGGGGTTTTGTTATTGTTTTTATTTGTGATCTTTCGCTTAAAGAAAAAAAAGGTATTTTTTTCATTGATCTGACCTACAATTTCTAGCACATAAATCTGCCTTGCAAATGCTCTGCACGGAGGTTAGTTCTGCATCTACATTTTAAGTCAACATCAAAACGGGAATCAAATAGAGAAAACCAGCATGGAGGCGTAAACTGTGCTTAAAGGCTTTTAAATGAGAAAAACTTATGTAAGAAAATAAACATGGAAACCTAATGCTCAATCATTTCCCCAAGCAGCAAGGAAAACAGCCTTAAATCACCATCCACGTGGGAAATGGGGGCCTCTTTTTCTCTCCTAGTTCCCCCGCCTCAAAAAAATGTAAGGCGATAAAGGGTTTCAGTCTTGAGGTGAATAGTATAGGAAAGGTCTGTGGAGGTTTGTTTAATCATCCTTGTCCTTCCAGCCCTTCTGGAGATTCACTTTCCTGCACAGTTACTAATTTCAATTCTATAATTATTTTTATTTTCCCAAGACATCTTGAGAATGAAATAGTAGTGTGATGTTGCCAAGATTTTGAATGACTATAGATTTGAAAACATGTCTGATCCTTTTGAAGGTTATTCTATAAGCCGCTTCACCCCCAGCCAAAACTGTACTATAGCTGAATAACAAATACATATTTCTTCAGTTGAATTTGTCCTATTTTGCACACAAATAAAGTCACATCATCTCTCTCTTTTTTTAATCCTGCTTTTCTACCTTTGATCACACTTTGATCACATCATACATTTCTAGACGCCCTAATTTTCCCTTTGCAGGGCTATTTTAGAATAGGATATGTTGCCAATTGGGAGATATGCAGTTTTAATGATTTCACAGTAATTTTCCTTAAATTTTTTTTACTGTGAAATCTCCAATCTAATGATTTATTCTGTTATTCCAGACATCCATATCCCGTTTCTTTACTCTCTCTCTCTTTTTCTCTCTCATTTCCTCCTCCCTCAACAGCTCAATTTTACCTATTCAGATAAATAAAAGCTGAGTTTTGACGGGGGCGGGGAGTGATATTCAGCAACTGGAGGGGCTAACAATATTTTGGGAATTAAAACATTTTTCAAATGTAAGTATGGAAGGATTTTTGTTTGTGGATTTAAGACTTTTGGCATTACAGACTAGTACAGATGAAATGTATATGAGTGAAAACAATGAAGTATTATAGTCATTGTTATGCTTATAAGATGTCACCAGATTTATTAATTATTTTAGATTATATATCCTGCAAAATCCAAGTTACATGTGATGGAATGCTTACCATTATGAAACAACTATCTCCCATCCCTAAAATAAAATTTTATTGAAGACCTACTATGTGTTAGGATGGTGTCAAATGTAAAAATGAACCATATTGTCAAACAAATTGTTTTCATTTTTCATCACTAAAAAATGAGATTATCCCCCCATATAAAGTATCTGTATCCCCCACTGCTATGGAGCCAACCTTGTCCATCCCCTGCCTTCAGTCAACAGCTAAACCCAAATTTGGCACCCTCTGCAGGTTGTGCCTGGTTCTTCCTCTTGTGATTATTTTACTCCTTTAAAACTACTGGGTGTTTTTGTTTGTTTGTTTGTTTGTTTATTACTATTGCTGTTTAATATTTTTAAAGGCTATGTTTGGATTTTGAATTTTTGAAGCTAATCTACCCTCAAAATTAAAACCTCATCCCTAGCAGCAGCTGTTCAGATGACCCTGTCTAACTCACTGTGTGGAGGCTGTGGGGTGAGTTATGAGCTCAACAGTAGCTGGAGAAATAAATGATGTGCCCAGAGTTCACACATCGTCCATCCCCTCCTCCCCATAAACTTACACTCACCCGCTGAAGGGAGAGGAGGGGCCCAGGGCTTGTGAGGAAGGTGAGGGGGCTGCAGAAAACACAGTGGCCCTTAAGGTAGCCACCCGGGACCAGCCTAGCCAACAACTAGACTCCAGCCAGAGTCTTCACCAGTGCTCTCTTTAAAAATAACAAGTTGGCTAAAACAGTTTACTTTTTGTTCCTCCTTTTTATGTATCCTGAGATTTACAATTTGTGGAGTTAGCACTTAAATAAGAAAGCTTGCTCTCTTAAAAATAAAACAAAATGACAGAAACCAGTCCTATCCCCTCTGGGCCTGGCCAGCATGCCTGCCCGGGGTCTGTAGGACACAGATGAGGGCCCTGGCCTGGCAGCTCCCGGGCTCTGGGGTCCCTCTCTGTGCCTACCCAGGAACTCGGACCTACTATTCTCTTCATCCCGAGATTACTCGCAGCCCCACAAGCAGCACCATATGCTTCTTCTGATCAAACAGCCAGCAACATTGGCACTGATAATTGATGAGACCCGCTAGAAATCACGCAGAAAGGGAGCCCACTGAGACCACAGGGGCTGACAAATCACTGCTAATAATCCTGTTAGGAACGGAGGGAACAGCGGAGTTCGCAATAGCTTTATTTTTATAAAGTAGGCGCTGACAGTATAAAAGACAACAAGGTCTCTTTTTTAAACATAAGGCAGTGTAGCATCGTAATAATGTTCCCACTAGCAATTCTCAGCAGAGCTTAATGGGAAATGTGGTTTTTAATATATGTTTCCTCCTTTTTTTTTTCTTTTTGGTCTTTACTTTTTAGGTACTTTAGGTTTTTATTTCTTTCCTCCTGTAATTTCCAGGGTCAAGGAACTGCTTTAAGACAAAACAAGTATAACACTACCTGTAGTTTTATGGTAAAATTGAACTATAATTTGAAGACTATTTGGATGCATGTTTTGCAAGATTTTGATTCAGATAATAACTTTTAGTCAAGATCAAGCAAATTGAAAACTCCAAACCAAATAATGACTATTTCCTTTCCAGTATTCTCTCAAAAGAAAACAAACCCCACAGTCAAAATCAACAGTAACAGAAACCTCTCCGGGTCAAATACTGTAAGAAGTTCTGCTTTGTCAACAAACAGGGTGCTTTTCTCTCCTTTACATTTCAAATCCCCTCCCTCGGAAAAGGCATACCTAACATGGACGTATTTTAAATCTGTTGATGTTATTTGAATAGAGGTAAAGAAAAGATGGGGAAGTAGGAGAGAGAAGTGTTCTTTTCCCAGTGAGTACAAGTGGTTTTATACAGGAGAATGTTTTTCGAAGCCTGCTCTGTTCTCACACAGCGAATCTTCGTAATCCAAATACACATTTTTAAACCATGTCAACAACTCAGCTCAGCGATTCTAACTTCTAGGCCTTAAAAGATAACTTTTCCAGGACCCCTCTGCCAACCTACCTACCACCTGGCAGATATTTTCTAAGTGGGCTAGCCATCTTAATTCAATCTTATGTATTTCGGGACTAGCCTCTTATCTCAGCGATAATATCCAACCCAGAGTTCTAAATCACATGCTCCAGAGATAGCTTCAGAACCTGTGACTGTCTCAAAAACCCAAGATAAATTTGCCATCAGCAGCCAAAGAGATTGGGTAAATTCAGGACATATTTGTTCATGAACATGCTTGCTCCTCCATTGCAAAATTATAAACATAGAGAAATTATTACCTAGTTTAGTTAGCTTCATTTACACGGGGTCTATCTATACATAGCAAAAATACAATAATTTGGCAGTGTTCCTGCCTTCTCCTAGATACAATTCTAATGAGAGGAATGAATGAAAAAAAAAAAGTCATGTTTGGATTAGTAGTACTTTCAATTGAGCCCCGTATCTGAAGTGTTGACAAAAGCAACGTTGGGCTACTTCCCAACCAAACGTATCTGATGGGCTGAACGGAAAGTATTAATGGGAAGTAGAAAGAGCCACAAAAAGGCAAGAGGATTTCTAAGTTCAGAGAGGTCCTTAGTCAAGCAGCCACACTAAACTTCCCTTTGCAGAGCGTGTGTGAAAGAAAGTATGAATGTACTTCTCTGCCCGTCTGGTGGCTGGCAAACCCTCTACCCCTTCTGTCTGAAATTCCATCTGGGCAAAGTCACTTACCTTCTGGGAACACTACTCTCATTTTGAGATAGCTGGTGGTGAGTCTGATTATGGATGCTTTGTCCAGCTGTGAGGTGATAGCCGAGGGCAAAGGCAGTAATTTAGCCAGTTCATAGAATTCACTGTTTTCCTTCTCCCTCCTCGTCCGGGCAGCATTTTTGGACTTCTCTTTCATTGTGTCTCGTTCCCCCTTTCTTCTTACAACATACGCTCCACAGATTCATCCAAAACCAAAATAAACTTTCAATTAGAGATCATTTTGGGGGGGGAGAGGGCAAAAAATGTAAAGCAGACATTGAATGAAAAGACTGCAGTCTTTGCTTCGGTGTATGGGTGGTGGTAAAAGACCAACGCAGAGAACAGAAAATATTTTCTTTAAAAATACGGGATGCAAGGATAGGAAAGCTGCCGATCCGATCCGGAGCTATCTGGGCGACCCTGGGAGTTCCTGGATGTCAGATGCCAGCAGGACCCCTGAGGAGCCAGCCTTTCCTCCGGTTCCGCGCTGCGAACCCCGGCCCCTGGAAAAGCGACATAATAATCCTCGACGTTGGCTCTTCGGGCCCTCGGCAGTGGAGACGGCGCCGGGCCCTTTTGGGGAGAACAGGACAGCCGGGCGACTCTCTCAGGCCCCTGTGAAGACAACAGCATCAGAGCGTCAGCGATCGGCGGCTCCGCGAGCACTCACGCCCTCCCCCCGGGTTCCAGAAAGGGCCTCGGCTTCCCTCGGTATTTTTGTTTGTTTTGCAAAGTACGGGACACCAGCGGAGAGACGGAGCCCCGTGCAAAGGACGCCGGCTCGCGCGCCCTCGCCCAGGCCCACCGCATTCTCCAGCCCCCCGGGAAGTC